CAAGTTGATACATGTGTTTTCCTATCAGAGGAAGGAATCCTCTACTTATGTATTTGCGGGCATCAGATGCTCTGGTATTTCCCAAGCTTTCTTTTCCTTTATACTTCTCTCCATCGGAATTTTCCTCTGAATATAGCATTCCTGATGTCTGATACAATATCTAGGTAAGATCAAGAACAAGAAATGCGTCAGGTCAACGTCGGCAAAAAATGGGCAACGCAAACGTCATTTATAAAGAGATGCACCTTCAAACTCTACATTGAACTATCTCGCTACATTGTACTGATGGCATGCCATTCGACGATACCCATAAAACAGGAGACATCCTACACTGTGGATACCGACAACAATAAATTTCTTCAAGGAGTTAGCGTGAAGGGTTTTGGAACTCATGTATTCAATTTTTTTGAGCCAGAAGAAATAAGCGCAAGATCCAAGAGAATTCTCTAATGTTCTGTTTGTTTCCATTTAACATACTTGAGCAGTGAAGGCTGCTATTTCATGTTTACTTGACATGTTAGCAATATTCAACGCTTCCATGTAAAACGGATACAATGCTCTTGTCCTTGTGGTCTCTCCAACCAAGTTAAGATACGCTTCAAAAGACACATTGATATTTTGTGGGACTGATGGGACAAGTGTAGTATCCAAGATACAGCAAACCAGCTTCTCATCGTTAAGGGTTGAATTTCTTAGGGTGGCTCCCGGGCAGTCCCTGGCTTCCATGTAGTAACCGGTAAAATATGGAGGGTAGTTTGATGAGCACTTCAGGCAGCTGACATGTTCTGCAAAGAGTAGGATACGATTTTTTTTTTCATAATTTCCACCAATTATTTCTATTTTGGTTTCAATAAGGCTATTCACGGCCATTCTAGTGTAACAGGGAACTTGACCTTCATGACATCATTGTCATTTAAAAATCCAAGCCATCGTTAATATGACATATGCGGTATACGTGTTTAATTTGTCATCATTGCTGTTTACTCTAGACAGTGCATTACAACTGATTTCTAAACAGTCCCAATGACAAACAAATGTACTGAGCGTGAACTGGTTAAGTAATTCAGCAATTGAGAATTTGAAAAAAAAGTAACACGGCGTTTTGATCATTGATTGATCCGTTAGATATCAACAAAATCCAAAGAAAGAAAAATTCAGTGGAGACTCCTTCATATTTACTTATTTATCTTTTTTTCGAGCACACTTTTCAAAACATTGACATCGACAACCCTAAAGTCAGCTAACCTTGATGCCCGAGCTCTAACTGAGGGTTCACAAATATACAATCACGCTATTGTCCGTCTTGCAGTTTACTTGAACAACCCCCTTCTGAAACAGCAGGGGTTGCCTTTTGTTGTGAGCAGACTTTTTGCAATGTGCGTAAATCAAACAGATTTTGACATAATCCTAACAGGAAAAAAAAAACTGAACACAATTCAAGTAGTCGCTGAGTCATGATTGGAATAGCAAAATTTCATCCATTTTATGCTTATTTTCTCATAACTCTCCCAAGAAAAGATGATAGTAGTTAGCAGGAGACCATAAAATAA